AGGCAGCGCCAGAGCCGCCCCGCAAGCCCGGGGGACGGCTCCCCCAGCCCCGCCGCGGTGGTGGCGGCGGGTGTTCCTGCTGGGCAGCCCCCGCCTGTGCGGGGTGGCAGGGGCTGCCGGCCTCGCCCGCCTCCCTGCGCGGCTCACCGCTCTGCCGGGGGCGCGTTGGCCGAGCGGCTGGCGTACGTAAAAATCGCAGTTAACAACCGGACCGTTTGAACAGGGGCAGCGCTTAAAGTTCGCGTTTGTCATTTTCTGAAGTGCCGGGTGACAAAAAAAAGGGGAAATTTCGACCAGTTGCTCCGAGAGAGACCGGTTTGTTACCGTATGGAAGAAAAGTTCGGAGCTTTCAGTCTGTTCATACTTGAAGCAGAGCACAGCGTTCTGATATTTCCACCTTCCAGCCTTCTTGTTGAGGAATTTCACCAGGACGAAGACGGAGATCCGGTGCGGGCAGGGCCCGGGGAATCCTGTCAGCGGTTGGCGGGAGAGCGGGGCCGCCTGGTGGCGAGCGCGCCGCAGGGGCACGCCCAGGCCCCGTTCCGGGGGAAAGCCGGCGCCGGCCGGTGTGCGCGGGTGCGAGCGCTGTGGGAAAAAGGAGTCGCATCAGAATGTCACCGTTTCAGCTTCGTTGTATACATAATGGCACGTATCAAAGTAGACAAAATTTTCCTTCTGACGTGACTGTCTTCTGTAGGGATCCTCATAGGGAGGCCAGCCCGTGGATGGAGAATTAATGGGATCAATTATTCCCAGCCCACGCCTTGTGAGCAGTACTAGTCAGAGCCACGTGAATTTAAAAATTAGAAGAGGGAGCAGAGCTGCACACAGCCTCTTTGGCGGTTTGCTTCTGCCTCAGAGCAACCTGTGAAATGCTAACGTTGTGGTCCAGATAATACCGACTGAATAAAATAGGGAGCTGTAGTTACTAAAATGAATTATAATAACAGTTGTCAATATAGTTAATCCAGTTAGTGGCAGATGTGGCAGTGGATTTATAAATACAATAGGCCAGCTTCCATGTTTGAGCATGTGAGAAGCCTGAACTAGGTAAAAATTAGACACATGTTAACATTCAGTTGTTTTTAATCAAGATTTGGATAATACAGTGTGATTGGCACAGAGCATGCCTTATTCCTGTACAGACCGTTAGGGCCCAACCCAGCACTAGAGCAAGAAACAGTTCCACGTTGTAGCATCAGGAATGAAGTTACGTTGTGCCACAAGAAACTACCCTCAGGTCTGGCAGCTCTCCACGAGCAGAACGGCTTGTGTTTCTACAATGCCATCAGGAGAGAGATCTGTAATTTTCCAGAAGTCTCCAGACTTGCCCAAGAAGCACAGCACTCAGTATTTTTTATATGTAAGCCCCAAATCAAAAATGTGGGACGCAGCGCATTAAACAGAAAATATTCACACCAAATCCCTAGCCAGCTAGAAGGAATGTTTTCACAGAATATTGTCACAACAGCTGGCTGTCACAAAAACAACCTGTCTTTTTAACAGCCATCTCAGAAGCTGGAGGCATTCTGTATGTTACAGTTAATAGAGACTCAAGAGAGCTAACAATAACCTTTTTTTTTCCATTGCTGGCCCAACACAATCACAAACAGACATAATTTCTCATCAGATCATGCTGTCAAGCTTGTCTCTTAAAAGAATTCCCTGAAGAAACACAACAAAGAAGTTCAGCTGCAGGATGTGCTACAGTAAAGACTGACTGCATGAGAAAGAGGGAGGATTTGTTTGGTTTGTGTGTAGATTTTCATTATTGTGATCATCTCTCCATAGTACTGGATTTCATGATGAGAGATGACTTATCAATGATTTCACAGTAATGCAAAACGTAGTAGGTATGATTAGTAACCTAAGACGGGGTGGGGCTGCAGATCCAAAGAAGGATTTGGGTGGATTTTAGGCATGACGTTGTGCTTTCAAAAGATTAAATGTTTAATTGAAACGCTGTTTAGATTTGCAGCACTGCCTCATTCTCTCCTTTAAGGTGTGTTTGCAGAATTGTTTGCAGGTGATGCTGTGAACTAGTTAAAAAAACTGGTCCAGCTTTAAAAAACTTATTTTTTTGTGTTTCAGCAGAGAGCAGGAATAATTATGGGATTTTACTGCTTTTATGGCATACATCAGGAAATGTCTTCCAGAAAACTACTGAGCGCTTTGTGCATGTGCCCAGAACTCCCCCAGACCTGAATAGGTGGGAGTTAGCTCCTGTCTCTCTGTTGGCACTCAGAAGCAGGTGGATCAGTGCTTAAAACTCCTGGGGACTCCAGTCCAGCCAAAATGCTGTAGGTCTTTTGTGTGATAGCCTAATGGTTGATAGCCTCACCCAGGAACTGGGAGGCCCAAAACACTGAGTTGCTTTAGCCCAGGAGGATTTAAATCTCTCTCTCACCTCTCAAGAATTTTGTAGGTTAAATGGGGAAAAGATGGATTCTTAAAGGAAATTGGGTTGCTGTGCAGACAAGAATGTAAAAGCCATGGGACTAGACAGACAGTGTGGCAGAGGAAGGTCCAGCCTTGTCAGTGTTGGTTATATTCTTTACATGAAGCCGTGGTTGCATTAAAAAAGAGAATAATACAAGGAGCAAATCCCCAAACCAAGAATTCTTCCCACCTTAGTCAGTGCTGCGGGGGTAGGCATGAGGGCTTTAGCCTCATGTGGGCTTTAGCAACACAGTGTGCAACCTCTTGTGTTTTTAGGCTCCTAAAGTAGTTTCTTGTTTGTTAGTGTTATGGTGCCTTTAACTCTGATAAGCAACCTGCTCTGATAATCACATTATTTTGGCACAAGCAGAGTTGCTGTGTAAGTTGAGAAATACCTCCACACTGGGCTGAGGGAAATCACCTAGCTGAATATGCAAAAAAGATCAGCAAGTACTGTTTATAATAGCAGCTTATATAATGTCTGAAACCTCAGAAAAGCACTGGTAGTAATGCCAAAACCTTTTCTTACAAGTTGAAGTTTGCATGCAGTTCTGAAGGTTCAGAAACCTTTTCTCTACACAGAATTATACATTACCAGTATGCCGAGGAATATGGTTAGGTACCACTTCATAGGAAAAGTGTTTCTTCCTTCTGACAAGACACAAACCCTGATCCTCGATCACATCAGTTTGTTGAGTTTGCAAATATGTATTGGTAATATAAAGTTGGGACTATAAGGAACACTCTAGTTTAAAAAAGAAAAAAATGAACTGTAAATAGGAATTTAACACTAGAAACAATTTGAAATAAGCTGTGTATTGCCTTAAAATTTCCTTTTGTTCCAAAGTTCATCCTGTTCTTGCAATGTTGTTTGGTCCCTTTGGAAAGACAACACTTTCAGATACATTTCATAGTTTTCTGATCCCCATATAATGTTCTTTCTCCAGCCATTTTCACTATCTTGAGAGAGTCGTTTTGTTCATTTATCTGAATGTACCTATCTCTTAGCCCTCGACGCAGTTTTAGTTGTTTGTAATCCTTCCAGTGTTTGCTTTGGGTTCTCCTTTATATGTACAGATCCTGATTAGACCCTACTCTAATATCTCGACAAAAGTCGCCCTTCACATGCACAAGCTCTCCTCGGCTGGATGCTGTTATGTGGGACTTTAATTCCCAGCTGTCCTGGCCTGCAGGGTGACTTTTAGCCAATTATTTACCTTCTACCTTTGTTACCTGAACCTCTAAACTGGACAACACTATTGACCTCCTCTGTAAAATCCTTTCAAAATGAAAGTAACGTCGAAACTTCTTAGTAAGGAACCTACCAACACCACGCATTTAATCCTAGTGGTTAAGTGTTAAGAGATAAATTGTTTAACAAGTAGGAAGAGTTCCAGTATTAGCACTGGAAAAGGGTGTGGATGATGGTGACTGCAGATAGAAGCTGACAAAACTGCGGGATGACGCATTCCTTGCCTGTCACAGGCAAAGTTGGCAGCAGTACAGCTAAGGTTGCCAAAGACTTCACACCACAGGCTGTTTTAATCCCAGGTAACTTTACCAAAGTAATCATTTGAGCTCACATTTTGCATAATTGCTCTCTCTCTCATGCTAAATATATCAATTCCAGCAAACCCACTTCAGACCCACTGAAAATGCAATTGTAAGAAACACGTGGGTTTTGAAGTTAAATTTTTCTCTCTATTTTTAAGATCTCCAGCTTTTTCATGCTTTAGAGCAGGGACTCAATTTTTGGCAGGAGAACAGTCCCTTTCTGCCTTTGGCTGTCAAAAGAAAGATCTAACGAGATTTGACTGAAACAGTCTCTGATGAAGTCAGCAGCAACATGTGTGAGAGCGTGCTGCTAAATCCAAGTGTGCCCCGAGTAGCTCTGCAGCCATTAAACTGATAGCTGCGCACTAACCTCTGTGTGGGTGTTCAGAAGTGAGATTCAGGCAGCCCATTCAGATGCATTGCTTTAAAAATCAGGGCCCAGCACATGCTGAAAGCCAGTCGTGATGCAAAATAGAGGGGAGGGGGAAGACTTTTATTATTGTACAATTTGGAATTTTTGCATTCATGTACTTGAAAAGACGGTTTGCCAGGTTACAATCCTTATGAAGTCATTATTACCCTGTAAAAGTTATAATTACTTAGTTACAACACCTGGCAGCATAAAAATCAAGGACTTGGCACAACACTACCCACAAGATTCCAGGGAAACACTGCTCTTGATACACCGTATCTTCAAACAAACACATGCCAACACAGACTGTTGTCTGTCTGCCAGAGAGAAACCTCCTTAAGTGCTGCAGATGAGCCCAGAAGAACAACAGGTCATCCCTCAGTCAGCTCAGATTCCTGGGATCAGACCATAACCCTCTTTTCCAACACCCAGTGTCTGGTCTATATGAAAGACATATGCAGGCAGAAAAGAACCATGT